AACATACACCCAACATACATACACACATATATACACATACATATAAACATGCGCATAACATACGTCAAATAAAGAAGAGTTAAATGTACAAAAAGGGACAGATGCGCATACAATCGAATCTTTACAATAGAAAAATGAATTCCACCCCCTATTTTAACAGTCTCTTTTCTCTTCTTCTCCTCAAAATTCACATTCTTTTGGTGATTTCTACATGATCATCCAATTTGTTTCTTTTTCCTCCTCATTTTCAATAAAATCTTCTATTTTTATTTATTATTATATTTCGTTAGTTTACTAAAGAAAAATTAGTAATATTAAGTAAGTGAAATGAAAATATTTAAGCAAAATATAATTGAGCGAATCGTATTAATTAGCAGTAATTAATCAAATGTTAAATTAGCTACAAATCATTATTAAACAACTGTTTACAGCAATGCAAAATATAGCATTCAATTGATCGTTTGTTAGAAGTATTGATAATTATTGCTATCAAATTGTACAATTATTGTCTGGTTGTACGATACAACTATCGGGAAAAATCGAAACAATTTTGTACATCGTAGCTATGACTCATATTGATTTATAATGTTTAAATCTCCCCCTCTCCACCTTTACTGTTTGTCTGTATTACCTGTATTACCTGAGCTATTGTGACAATGTAAAGCTTTTCCTATTAATGTACTGTCTAAACTTTGTGTTGTAAATCTCCTTTAATCACATTAGAACCGTAAACTCCTCCTACTTATCTGCCATATAAGGGCTTATATCCCTATCTGAGATCAATCCTTTCCAGATATTCGTGAACTTCTTCCCTTCATCGATTCGCTCATCAGACACATCCATCAGGTTAGAAACCTTTACAACGCAACGTTATCTTATCATTAATCTCAAATAAATCCATTCTACTGAATTCGCTACCTCTGTTGTAACTAAAAAGATTCGAAACTTACAGCAATACTTCTTCAGAGAAGGTAAATCCCTCATTTTCCAATAGTATTTTCAATTAATTCACTTTCCGCTTGTCTCCTTTTACGACAAACCTTAGCGACAGTGACATTTATTGATTGCATTCGGTGCTTCATTCAATTTTTCCACGATAATTCCTACTGCATCTTGCGAACTAAGATCATTAGCACTGACAATTTCATTTGTGTCTCAGTGATTAATGTCAACGTTGTATTTGTTATTCAATACAGACAAGGGGAGTTCGGGGGAGGGAGGGGGGAGAGAATTGTTACGATAAAGGTTTTGTTAATTGATGACGAATTCATTTCTTCTGGCACATTACATTATCGGAGCAGGTAAAGGCAGCTAAGGTTGATCATTAAGTTGTTCTTGACCTTGTAAAAAAAAAGTCCGGTTTGAGTTTAATACAGGTTATCGTTTGGTAGGGAGATTTTATATGGTGCGGACAATTAGACCAAATCAGAGCATATGGCTGGAGTCGAGTGGAATTTATAGTAATCAACTCTCCTATTTAAATAGTGAGAGTGATTTGCAACATTTCTCCATGGATACCGCGGGAGATATGCTTGCGCGCCCTTATGAGGTTGCAAGCTATGCCGGAAGAGCCTCTCATGCCAGGTGGGTCTTAATTAAAGGGCTATACAAAGTGTGTTTGTGGGCAGGATTAGCTCATTAACCTTCGGGCAACCATCGTGAGAGAACAACTCTGATCCCAAACCCAGGCACATGAAGCTCGTTTAGTCCTGTAAAACGATCCATCTCAGAGAAGGAAACTTTAACTCCTGAGGATTTCGTCGCCACCATTTAAGCTCGCTAGACTTTGGCAGATGAACCTTAGTAGTAAAGGTTGGGATCAGTTCCGGTCACGCTGTGCCTTACGTAAAAAATCCACTAACAGACTCATAGAATACACTCACCTTTTTCAAAGCCGTTTAGCGACAAGCAGGAAACAGAACGGCAGGTGATAAGGTACACTGGAAGCCGCAGACCCACCGCTACATGCAGGCGATCCAGGACATTGATCGCTTGAAACTGATCACAGAAGATGATATCTTGCTTGGTAACATCCTTTAAAGTGGAAACTATATTTTGCTGGAAGTTTGCGCAACGTGACACCAAAGTAGCAATATCTTCCTTATTTCGATCTTAAATAGGTAAAAGAAACAATATTAATGTCGCATAATTCATTAAAAAAAAACACAAAGACAAGCTCCAGAAATGTCGCAACAAGATAAATTTGAAAGAGACCAATCTGGGGGATAAAAAAAAATGAAGGATATTATCTTGCTGTATACAGCATATATATTCTTTTTCTTTTTTTTATTTAGGATTACAAGAATTATTCACTTTTGTACGTTGATATGGTACTCTTTGTTAATGTATATATGACTAAATAATAGGCAAATACAGTAATACCAATCCTATTTTAGCAAAAAGAATTTTAATAATTTTCACAATTCAATTTGGTAAGGACAAATTAGTATGTCATAAAACAATCATTTATATACTGTATTTCACAATAAGCAAATAGCCTTTTTTCAAAAACAACACTTCTTGCTCCACACGAAGAGAGACTTAGAAAAAGGTAATCTTAACCAAAAATTCATCTTCTCCATCGGTTAGTTAACCATAACGAACGGATGTCTTGTGATAATATCGAACAGTAACAAGACAAAGGCATACATTTAACTTGAAGGATGTTCTCAGATTTACATTTGCATGCTGGAACATCGAAATCATGCTTGATAATACGAATTGCTAGTTTTGGTTATCGTCCTGCTCTAATTCTTATGAACTGTCATGACTTAACATAGACATTATTGCGCTTGATAAAGTTCGTTTTCATGAGGACACAGTATTCTCAATGAATATGGCCCCGTTCATACATTCTACTGGTCAGGAAAACCCAATTGGAAAGTTACTTTTCAGGAGTTAGCTTTATGGTTGAAAATCTCCTTCCTTTCAAACTTGAAAAATTTGTTGACAAATCATTTTGATCATATTATCTTCCTATGCATTCTGCTACATACACAACAAACAACAAATTATTCTCTTCAGCATATATGCTCCAACTCTGCAAGTTAATCCTATGAAAAAAAAAAAAAAAGAAAAAACAGATTCTATATCAATCTAAGCCATCTTATTCAAAAGATTCCTCCAAATGATAAGATCACAATTCTTGGTGACTTCAATGTTAGAGCTGATAAGAATGAATGAAATATTTTAGCAATGATAATATAATAACAGAGATGAAAATGATAGCAATAATATTAATAATGGATATGAAGATGTTGACGATAATACAGTAAGAGATGATGATGATATTAAATATAATGATAGAGATGAAAACGTTGGACAATAATATAACGATAGAAATAAACAAAAATGGGACTATTCATAATAAATATAATCAAAATGGAATTATTTCGATATTTGAATAAATAGCAAAATTTTTTTGTTCTTTCTTAAACAAAAAAAAAAAAGCAAAAGCTAACGAAAGAATAGCTTCTATGCTACCTTTTATAATGGCTTCTACAGTACCCTCTACAATAGCTTCTACAGTACCTTCTATAACAGCTCCTACAGTACCCTCTACAATAGCTTCTACAGTACCTTCTATAATAGCTTCTATTTACCTTGTTTTTGTTGTTTGAAAAACAAAAAAATAAAAAAAAGCGTGTGTATGTGTATGTTTTGTTTGTTTGTATGTGAGAAAGGGTGATTAATGATAAACAAATTTAGAAAAATGTCCCTTTTTATTTATTTTTTTTTTTGTTACATTACGATACTGATCAGTATCAACATCGTACCCCATCCTTTTATTCCCTTGTAAAGTGTAAATTGATAAGTAAATAATAGTGTTAGCGTATTAGCATCAGCAATTAATTAGCAATCATCAATGCAAATTTTAATGATTAAGAAGATCATCAATGTAAATGTTGATTGAAATTATCAACATAAACGTCAATCATTACTAGAAAACGATCAATGTCAATATTAATTAATCGGATATTACCGTATTATTAGTAGGATATAGTAAAATGATGATCATATAGATGAGATCATTAAAATATTCATATTATGAAAAAAGAACGATAATTCTGTAATAGGAAGAAAAAAGCATAGTTTAAAGATTTTTCAATATTTACAATTAAAATTTAATTTTCATTTTCATTCCATTATTCACAATTCTATTCTCTTTCTCGTTAGCGATAATATGAATTCACTGTCACAATATAGTTTTAGTTTCATGCATTTAGTGAAATATTTTGTTTTGACAAACTTTTTGTCAAATATTACTTTGCAAAAGTTTTGTCATCAAAAAATTTTAACTTAAGTAGGCAATGAAAGTTGAAAAGTCTATATAATTTGAAAATAAATACTTAAATGCTTAAAAAATAATTTTTAGTCAAAAAGAAGACGCAAAAAAGCATAACGATTTTTTGTCGTCGTCCTTTTTTTTTGTTTTTGTTTGTTTTCAAATTATATAGGCTTTTATTTTATTTTGAATTTTAATTCATCAAATAATGAAGACGTATTATGAGAATTGAAATTTCAAAAAGGATGACGAAGGAGAATTTATTAGATTGTAAATTTATTATACTCTTTTTCCATTTTATTTTATTTGATATTTTCTCATTTCTAAGCATAACATTAATCTGACATATTTTTAAAACTGTCAAAATCTGTTCATTTTCGAGAATAGAATTTATATTTAACAAAAAACGTTCATATATTTAGTACTATATTTTGTGTGATTGCCGAATTTTTTTCAAATGAAAAAAAAATTAAATAACCAGTACTATATTACCATCACTATAATCATTATATTATCATTATTATAATCGTTATATTGTCATCATTATAATCACTATATTATCATCACTATAATCACTATATTATCATCATTATAATCAGGCTTCCATATTTATTGTCTTAACAGTGATAAATATGTGTCACAACTTGTTAAATCGAAATTCATTCTCTCTTATCACTTTTTTTTTTTATTGAGACAATAAATATTCCTAAATTGATAGATAGCTATATATATATATATATAT